CTTTTGGGGGGTTTCCTCATATTTAATCATTTTTAAAGTTTGGGATGGGGCAGTGGGAAGATAGAAAGGCCATATTGACAATTTACATTCCCAGAATCGAGGGAATTTTCATTTGATTTGACATTTGGTCTTAATTAACCTATTGAACTGACATTGTTATGCTGATTCTTTGAATAAAAAAAGTGATCTTTCTTTGTTTGAATGTTGTTTAAAGTATGTCTTAAAAATCACCCATGAATATTACAAAATAAGCTGATGAAAATAGTCAAGATCAAAATTAATTTGAACAAATGTATGCCTTGTCATAACAGCGTTTCCAACTAAACTTTATTGCAATACATTTTTTAGTAAATTTTTGTCCACAAGAAGACCATTATGGGAGTGTACATCAAAAAATGTTCTATTTGTGACTGAAATGTTGTGGAACAAATGTGTAAAAAAAAAAAAAGTAGTTACAAAGAAATTCCAAGATTGTCAAAGATTATTTAGCAATCAAGAAAGGGTTGTAGAAATGTTTTTAAGAGCTTGGTTAAAAATAGCTCGTCTGTGTAATTAATACTCTTAGTAGTTCTCTAGGTTAGTGACATGCTAATGGAACATTAATACATATATAATCGCTAATGTAATGTAACTGCATAAGCGATTCTACAAATGGAATATTAAAAATCCCCCAGTAGACAGATTATATTTTTTTTTTTACAGGGTAAATGTGTATTACTGTTTAATGAATGCACTGAATATTTAACCCAAATTGCAGAATTTACGCTTTTATGGCCAAATGTAGGATGTCCTAGTAGTCGTTTTTGTAATGTAACAAAACACGTTGTAATTTTGTACCGTAATAAGGCACAGGAAAACGTTTTCTCCAGTTAAGTCTTTTTAAGAGTAATAATTGGACAGCTTTTGGGAAAAAAAAACGCAATCAAATGAAGGGTGCTCCGGTGGAGCGGTTTATGTTCCAACTACTGTCAATTATGCGGTTCCTAAAAATACAGGAGCCTATTTTAAGAAACATATATGCAGTTTAAGATATGGGGAAGTAGCTCGTTTTCCACTAATGCGTGAATAAATTTTGCTCACAAAAACCATTGTAGGGATTTGGAGGTATAAAAAAAAAAAGTGTTGCCTGTGACTACAACAATCCATAATAAAAATAAATTTATGAACTCGGTATTAAAAGTGTTAACGAAATATGTACATTTTACAGTGATAATGACCTTTTTGACTGATACTGATAAACCTAAAGCTTACAGTATAAACGATACCATGACATTAAAAGGCAATCAATATATAGAAAAACAGTGAACTGAGATCAGCCAATAGAAGAGTTCATTTAAAATGGCAAAAGGCGTTGTGGAATAATAAAGAGAGTGAAATGCAGTCCTGAAGTATTAGAGCTTTGGCAGTCAGTGCAGCAGCTTGCGACCCATCAGGGGTGAGAGTTCATCTGCAGGTGGTGTCAGGCTCTGCTGCTGGAGGACTGGAGTCTGCCTGCATCACTGACGATTTCAGTTTACTCGCATCTGTAGGAGGACATATAAAGCAGTTAGGACCAGACTGTATATTGCATTGATATTATATTGCAGTGTACATTAATGTTCAGACGTTATGAATACTTTATAAGAAATTAAGATTTTTATTTGACATGAAATTGATCAAAAGTAACAGTAAAGGCATTTGTAATGTTACAAAATATTTATTTTTTTAAAGATACTGTTCTTTTGAACTTTCTATTCATCAAATTAACCTGAAAAAATGTATTGCGGTTATGTGCTGATTAATAAATATTAAGCAGCACAACTGTTTTCAACATTAATAATAAGAAATGATTCTTGAGCACTAAATCAGCATATTAGAATGATTTCTGAAGGATCATGTGACAAGGCTGGAGTGATGATGCTGAAAATTCAGCTTTGCCATCACATTTTAAAATATATTATTTTAAATTCTAATAATATTTCACAATATTGTTTTTACTGTATTTTTGGTTAAATACTTGACCAATAAACATCAGCAGCATCAACAATGCCATAATAAAGGTAAGCTGGCTCTTTAATATTTCTTTAATTATTGAAATTATGATTGGTTTGTGTAGAGTTTAAATGCCATAATTGTTGTTTTTCTACAAGCAACATACTACTCAGGAAAAAAATTGGATTTTTTTTTAAAGACCCGTGAAATTGAATTCACTCTGCATATATATATATATATATATATATATATGTGTGTGTTTTATGGCTGTGACATAAAAACCAGAGGTTTTAGGCAATACATCAATCAACCCAAGGAAAAATGTGACCCTGGACCACAAATCCAGTCATAAAGATAAATTTTTTGAAATTGAGATTTATACATCATCTGAAAGCTGATAATTTATACATTATCTGAATAAATAAGCTTTCAATTGATGTATGGTTTGTTAGGATAGGACAATATTTGGCTGAGATGCAACTATTTGAAAATCTGGAATCGGAGGATACAAAAAAATAAAAATAGAGAAAATCAACTTTAAAGTTGTCCAAATGAAGTCCTTAGCAATGCATATTACTAATCAAAAATTAGGTTTTGATATATTTACGGTAGGAAATTTACAAAATATCTTCATGGAACATGATCTTTACTTAATATCCTAATGATTTTTGGCATAAAGAAAAATCGATAATTTTGACCCATACAATGTACTGTTGGCTATTGCTACAAATATACCCGTGCTACTCATGACTGGTTTTGTGCTCCAGGGTCACAAATGAGGATACACATTAATGAGTCAAAGCTTTAGAAGTTTTTGCACACCTTGCAGCCAGCGGATCTGAGTGGCCGGACCGTAGCCCTGCTCGTTCTTGGCAGCGATACGGAAGACGACAGCAGGCCGTGCCGAGCAGTCGATGTGCGCGTTGCTCAGCTGGCTTTCGCTGACTGTGCATGAGGTCTTGGTACCACAGTAGATTCGGATGAAGGCCAGCTCGCCAGGTCTCTCCACGCCGTTCCCTCGACTCTTCCTCACAGCCAAGTACATGGAATACTCTGTGATCTTCCCCAACGGAGAGGTGGGAGGCTCCCAGGTGATATGCACTGAATCTTTATCCTGAAATCATAACATAACATCTAAACGTCTTTGAACGCAAAATGTTTGTCATCACTGAGAAGACTGATTGTACCTTGGTGATTTTTACAGCAGATGGCGCTCCAGGAAATCCAAGCTGGCAGGTTTTAAACTCGCTGACGGGACTGAAGTTGCCCAGGCCACGGCTGTTCAGTCCGGCCACCCGGAATTTATATGTGACTCCTGAGGCCAATTCCTGCTTCTCACGATCCTTAAAACAATGAGGACCCGGCAACTCCCACTGTCGGACAGAAAGTGGTGACGTAAAACGCACTGTCACAACTGGAAACCATTACAATTAGGTGTGGTAGTATCAAACCAATAACACAGACAAACCTCACTGTCAGATGAGTTTCGACCAAACAGGGTCGATGCCATGTCACCTTCCTCAGAAGGCAGGAAGTAGTGTGTAACCTCACAATACAGTGTTTTAAACACACCCACATCAAACCACACAGAGTCCTCAGACTGTAAGGGCAAAGGGAGAAAATGTGTCGTGTTTTTAGGAGATTTATACCTATATAAATACAGAAACACACTGTAACACCCTACCTGTTGGGATGGTATGGGAGAAATGTCTCGTTCTGTGAATGATAATATAAATAGTAAGAAAGGAAAACTACAGTAACAATTGATCTATTTTCAACAGGAAGTGTGTGCTCATACCTTTCTGGCACTGAGATGTACTATTCAGCTTACCAGCCTTATTCATGTTTGATGGCATCACGGAAACACCTTCTTGATCTTTGAATATGCACATTAAAAATACATCATCAGGTATATATGTGACTGAACCACTTTGTAGCACAGAAAGACCAAAAGTAAGAATGCAAGAGTGGAAATAAACATGCGCATTAAACTACATATCAGAAGCAGTGTTCACTTTTCTACCATTGTCACCTTTAGGCCGGACGTCTGTCCCTTCCTCACCTAGTTCTTTTGGCCTCAAAATGCTTTCCTGAAATGAGAAAGGCCCTGTGAGATTAATAAAAAATATAATATATATATATATATGATATATAGTCATATATGAAATACACTCAAATGCAGAAATCTGACCTGTGAAGAAGATTCTTTTTCTTCTCTTGGCTGGGAGTCTAGACAGAAAATGTATATAAATTATACATAATTACATATTAATAACAGTTATTTAAATTATAAATAATATACACCGGGTTCTTACACCTTTTCCAAAATTAAATTTGAGCACAAAACAACTTGTAATACCTATTTGTACAGATTCCTTTCTGTCTCCAGTGCCTGATGGTGTGGACTGTGGTTCAGTAGAAGCGGACTGAGATGTGATTGGCTGCAGTTGAAGCAAATAACATTCAGCTGCAGGTAAGGGCCGCCAGGCGACATGCAGCATATTAATTGTAGACTTCACAAGGAACACTGCACCAGGAGTGGAAGGCTTCTCTACACACAACAAATCAGAACTTGATGATTTAAATGTTCAGATGTAAACTTTGTTGATTTAATATCACTCACCTGTTTCAAGGTACCACAGATCTTTGCAGCACACCTGGTAGTTATTGTACTTTTTGTATCCATCTCGCCCACTCCAGACATACAGACGAGTGCCGACGGTTACTGCGCTGTGTCCAGCTCGTGCTTTCGGCCAGTGTGCATTACCCTCTTCCTGTTCATCCAACTGTACATCTGAAGCCGATCCCTGCTGCTGTTCTTCAGGTGTCAAGTCATGCCATGTCATTGTGTCTACAGTAAGCAAACCATACCAAGAGAAAACGAGTAATGATAATAAAGCAATTTTTGAGATTATCTAGCTGCAAGAACAATGTAATATTCATGATCATACCAAGGTTTAGCATGGAAAGAGAGTTGGTGCAGACCCACTTGACTCCATCGGCAGTGAGTGCATCCTCTGCCTCTCCAACCGGAACCCAGCCTCCAAACACATATAACCTACAACAAGAAGATAAAGAAGAAAAATTGAGACAGTAGGAGGTAAAATAATACATCTTGACTTTATTGAAAAGTGAAATTGAGAGAGGAAATGGACAATGGAGCTGTTCAGTCATGACGTCAATATCTAGGCAAACCCAAGAGGCTAATTCACCCCTAATGGATTTCTAATGGGTTTTCAGAATAGTGGTTTTGTCAACATTATATGAGGAGCCTCTGTCATTTCTCAAATGGGAATTTTGAAACCATTGTGACATGACATTAAACTGCTTTCTGCTGAATGAAATCCAATACTTGTTTCTTACAAATTTTGCGATGCTGATTTCAGAAATAGTGCCCGTTTAGTTATAGAATGTCACTTTTTCACAAAACATGATTGGCTTTTTGTAGCATTTTTGGTTTCGACAACAATTTTTTATTATCCACAGAAGAACTGCCATAAAGACATGATTCCTATTTTCCTCAGGTTACAATTATTTGTTACATTTTCACACATATAAATGATTTATGTACATTTTAGGTGATTTACTACATCCAAACAGCAGAAAACAGAAAATGATGTTAATTTTTATTATGCATAAACTGTTATGTGAAGTTACTTAACATTAAATGGAGTATTTTAACATATTTCTTTACTCCTATGCATATTGTAAGTTAAATTATACACTTTGAATATTTTTTGTTATTTAAACATGACATTTGACTGCACTGAGTGCATTAAAGCTGATACATATAATATGAAAAAGCATTCTTGCTGTGTAAAAAAAACTACACGATGGAAGGTTTTTATTGATATTTTTGAACTCGGCATCATCAAATTAGGTAATAGAATTCGATAATAGTAGGTCTTTTTGCAAATCTGCAGTATTTTTTTTTTAAGATACTGGGCTGTGTTATCTTTCCTGTTTTAGAACCACAAACTGAACCGCTTCCTACAGTAAATCAAAAAAGAAACAGGCTATGGCTTTACTTGTTTCCAATCCCATTGGAGGTGTGCAGACTCCTGGGTAGCGGCAGTTGACCTCTGATTAGAGGTAATGTCCAAGTCATAGTCTCTGAAATTAATGAAAACAAGCTTGAACTAATATAAAAAGAGAGCGAGGTCATACATCTCTGTTATTTTGATGAATATGAACAAGGCCTTACCGATGTCTAGTTGCCACAGATCATTCAGTCTGTGCCCACACATGCCCCCAAATATGTACAGCTTTGGGCCACTCCCGCCCTTGCCACAGTACACCACAGAACTATGGGATTCCCTGGCTGACGGACCTCCACCTTTGGTTTCAGGGATGTTCCAGCCTTTAACCCCAGACTGGACCTGCAGCTCCAGCTCATAGAAGTCATCTAAATACCTGCATAGAGACACAAATAAACATCATCCATGTGAGTATGTATGTGTTTTTGCGTTTGACAACCATAAATGCATGTAAATATGCACACCTTGGTATATTGCCATTTGGATCTTCACTGTCATTGGCCATTCCACCAAAAAGATAACACTTATTAGCGTGAAGAGTGAAGCTGTGGCCAATCCGTGGGCATGGAAGTGATGCGTTCCTCGGTGGACGGGGCTTCAGTTTCTTCCACAACCATCGACTGGCCTAAAAGAACAGATATGAAATCATAGCCCTGGCCTCCTAAAGCTGTGTACTACCATCATGAACTATTAATGCTTTTATTTAGGTATCAACTGAGCTACATTAAGTGCTCACCTGCAGTTCATAGAGGCTGTTGGTATACTGTCCGAATTCAACCATCCCTCCAAACACCAGGATCCGTGTGCCTTCACAAACAAAGCCATGAGCGGCACAACCAGGTGGGATATCGCCTCTCACTGCTGGCAGGAACCACTGCCTAGTCACTGAAATATATGGTTTAGAACTTCTATTAATGAAAGATTGTGTACATCAGCATTAAATATGAATTTCTAACTATTTTAATGTACAAAAAACAGTCAGCTTTAATGAATATGAAAACATAACAGAGGTTAGTAGCATTTCTATCTATTTTCATGTATATTATTAACCAATGATTTGTTTACAATAATCCATCAGTGCATTTATTGCTGGGTACTACATGCAATCTGAAGTCACGTCTCTATATGAGTTTTTATAAATGATACATCCATTGTACTATGTAGTATTAATGCAGTTGGTGCCCTACCTGAGTTATAAACATGCAGATTGGTCGCTATTCCCTCGTTTCCACCTCCAAACACAACCACCAGCTCTCGTATAGACACGGCCCGGTGCCCGTGCCTCGCCCTCGGAACAGGTCCAGCGTAAGACCGCACTCTTTTCCATTTGGGACCCTTATTAATCATAATAGGTTATTTCACATAGGTTTGATTTTGCACAATTGCTTTCGAGTAAAGGCGGACTGCATACAAACAGTTCTTAGCGCTTCCCCGTGCGTGAAAACGTCTCTGTGATTGGCTCAACGCCTGTCACGTGACTTAAAGGCGACGCACTTTCGACAAATCAGCCGTTTGTAGTTCTTGGGCCTCCCTCCCCTTTTTTATTATTATTTTTTATTTTTTTAGCAAATACAGAAAATAAGCCCCCGGGACAGTAAAAGCAATTCTTTACATTAAAATAATAGGATAGATGCATATCACGAGGAAAAAAACTTAATGTGTAAATGTGTGCCGTAGACAAAGAAATTAAAGTTAAAAATAAATGCTATTCTTTTCAAATAATCTACTAAAACAGATGCATATTATAAAGTTCTTATTATAATTATAAATTATATTAAATATAGTAGTGCATTCATGGAGACAAATCAAAAAAATATAAAAATAAATGATTACATTTTAAATATTTAAATACAGTATAGTTTATACATTACAACATGAATGTTCTCTTTTAGTATAGCAAGTGAGTGCTGTTGACATTAAACAAACGAATGAAATAAAATATTATTTGAATTCTAATAATTATGAATGTGCAACTTGTAGGGTAGATTTTGTACAATGTGAACATTTCTATTATGGCAGCTATCAGTGGCGATGTCCTTAATATTTATTTTCAACCAACAACTTAAAGATAACATTTCAGAGGCATCAAAACGGCAGAAGATTAATCTACGGTCCATGAACTGTGTTTAAGTTGTAATATCTTATGTGAAACCTAGAGGTCAGCAAAAGTCTATGAGGATTTGGGGTTTTCAGAGGCATAGCAAATGAGGAATGATTTTACAGACATACCATAAACGCTAGACGTTACACTCTAAAAAATGCTGGGTTAAATACAACCCAGTGCTGGGTAAAATAGGGACAAACCCAGCAATTGGGTGAACATCCAGAAGGGTGATTTCGTTACATTGCATAAATCATTTTTGGTTCCTCAAAGAATCTTTCAGTCAAAGGCTCTGAAAAGAATATTCTAAAGAACATTTTTCCATTATAAAGTACATTCCATGAATGTTAAAGGTTCTTTGTGAAATGATACCCCGGTTCAATTTGTTTGTGTTTTGTATGTGTCTCGGCGCTTGTTTTAGTGGAACCTCCTTCCTGGCTCTCTGTTATATTTTCAATGTCTTTGAAAGTCCACACGACCCTTGCCTTTATTAGATTTGCTGCCTCAAAAACTAAGAACCTTTCCTGTTTGACTCATTGACAAGGCAGGCCTTACCCGTCCACAACATTTAGTTTCAATTGGGTTTGAATCCTATAATAAAACGCTGATTGCTTGCCAGTGGTGTTCAGGTCGGAGGATGAAACCGGCATTATGTGACGAGGTTTGTTCGAATCCTGGCTTAGCCAGAACGTACATTTTGATAAGACTGGGATTGGCAGATTGGAGCCACTGGGGTTTTCATTTTAAGCAGATAAGGGAAAGCTGTGGGAGATGAAGGGAGTTTAAATGTAACCTGAACTGAGATTGAAGCAGATGTAAAGGATCACCTGTGTGAACTATAGAAGACTTGTATTCATACATCCACTAAATCACCTTGAGAGCAGTTGGTGAAATAATCAATGCAATAACAATTCAGAAATGTGAAGTTAGTTCTGAAAAAAACTCTGCAATATTTGGTTGCAGATACCACTTGGTTTGAGTATTTTATAGCGACTTATGCTGTGCATTTAAGGGTGGAAGATTTACTTTGTAATAAGAGTGTGTTCTGGTCCCACGTTATGCAACCAAGATTACAGACATTGGTCAGCATTGGAAAATTACTCCCACAGTTCACCGAGCCGGTAAAAAAAGCTTAAGTTTATATTCCATCCTTCTTTGATCTCAGTGCCATTATTACTAATATACTACGTCTGAATCAGGAAGAGACCTGTCAATCAAACATATATTGAGCCTGTGTATTATAAGGGTGATGAATCATTTCACTGGAGAAAGCAATATTTTGGATAGAGGACTCGTAGCCAGAAACAACATTTTGAAGTTAAAAACATCTTAATTTGTTTATTATAAGATTTTTACTTCACAAGATGTTAGTCGATGGACTGGATTTGTGTGGATTACTTGTGGATTTTTGTGATGTTTTATCAGCTGTTTGGACTCTCATTCTGGCGGCACCCATTCACTGCAGAGGATCCATTGGTGAGCAAGTGATGCTACATTTGATCAAATCTTTTGATGCAGAAACAAACTGATCATCTTGGATGGCCTGCAGGTGAGTACATTTTCATTTTTAACCAAACTGGACACACAGATTGTTTCTAACTGACGTGTTTTATTTGTTGAGATATTTTTATATATTTACATGTCTTGAGATGTATTCTCTCTTTTTTTCTTCTTTGAAACAACAAAATGCCAGTTTTCATACACATACATTTTTATATTTGCATAAACAGTTTGCCAAACACCAGACAAGCTGTTTCAGTTTTAGTCATTTTGCTCAGTTAAAGTTTGGCACGACCAATACAAGACAGAGCTCAAGTTTTACACCAGTGCTAAAATAACATTTTGTTTAGTCAGTCATAACACAATACACTCTTTTACTCCCACCTAGTCAAAAAGAGTGATATCGGTGTAAACAAATAAGACACACGTCAGCTCAAGAAATGAAGCTGAAGTTCTCACCAATATTAAAACACACAACTGAAGTCACAGACTTTAGTCGTAAATAGAAAGTGCAACGTGACATAATGTGCTGTAAAATAAATGCATCATTTATAAGAATGAACACATTTTTTGAAAACCAAAAATCATTCAATGTAGATTACGAGACAATCAAAATCTCATTCACCATGAATATTTCATATTTTTAGAGTAAGCAACCTAGATAAGCAGAAAATGAGCAGACTCTCACCACACAACTTATCTTTTAAAGCCGTATCATTAGATAACATTTTTTTTATTTTCATGCTTCTTTATTTATCCCCATCTGGCTCCTAGGACTCCACTGGAACACTCTGGCTTGATTTGCGCTAACAGTCAAGTTGCAAACACTGACTGGATTTACGGGAATAGTCTAGCCCTAAAGACTGACTGGACTTTCGGGAGTTGCATGGGTCTTTCCAAGAGTCGAACCCATCTTTGGTCTGGACAGCAGCCAGCTTGGTCAGGAGGGTGTTCCTCCGGATGCTGCTGTCCGAGTCCACTTTGTGTAACGTGTTTTGGGGTTTGTTCCAGCAGGGGAAACAGGCTAAGAAGTCATGGAGGAGGTGTCCGCTGAAGAGCATGTAGATCCACGGGTTACAGCAGCTGTTGAGACTCGCCAGCAGGGCAGAGAGGGTCACCGCTGCATTCTCAGAATCTGAAAAAGAGAAGGATTGAGTGATGTAGCCTTGGGGTTAAAGATTTGGGCTGATAACTGAAAGGTTGCAGGTTAAAACATTGCAAAAAGTTGATACGTTTTTGCTGCATTGAGCAGTAACATCTACTTGAACTACAATCTGTTTTGACTCGCATGATAATCAAAATAGTAGATTGGATTTCTTGTTTCTGAAAATCATTTGCTTTATTTGGTACTCTTGAGTCTTTGCACAGTAGGTTTGTGCTCTGATTATACGTTCCCCTGTTTTTCAAGCTTAAATCAATTATAGATAGATCAATATGCCCTGTCAGCCTTATGAAATATTGACAAAGTATTACGTTGTGTAATCAATGATTTTTCATTCCATGGTGCACAAGTATTTCTCAAGATTGGAAGACAAACTTCCAATAAGGCAACATTAGTTTTATATAATGAAGCATTATGTAACGGCACAGTATATATATATATATATATATATATATATATATATATATACACACACACTGATAGTAATGAAAAACAGTAATACAACCTCTTGAATTATATATATATATATATATATATATATATACACACACACACTGATAGTAATGAAAAACAGTAATACAACCTCTTGAATCCTGTAATCTCAAAGGAATGCTAATGGACTTCAGAAAAGTATCCTCTGAGAGACAGATAAGATCTTCCTGGATAAACTGAAGTTCTGATCTGGAAAACACATTGAATGGAATCCAGTATGATCTTTGGTTCTTTCTTGTTTGGTCTTTTTAGGAGTGGTTCCTAATTATTATAGAAATTACATTAGCATTTTCATCAGCAAGGAAATTAAACCATGCCTGATGCTTGCAATTACATCTTATTACTAGAATTGTGAATATTGCCAGAATTAGGGCGAATATATTGCGTTTTAAATAAAACCGATGAAAACGATTAGGTTGTCTTGTATTGTTTTATTATTTATTTATTTATTTTTCATATACATTTAGGTTTCCAAAAGTTTTCAGTAACTACAAAATAAGATAAGTTACTCAGGGAGTGCGAAATAAATTCG